CAAAAAAAAAAAAAAAAGATTAAAACAGCCACTACATCAAACCCCTAATCCACACCATTTCATCCATATCAATGCCCAGGCCAGCCACTGACATCCATACAATAACCCAGAATCTTCTGGAAATAATAAGTGACTATCAAACTCCCATACACAGTCAAGTGGTATCCCATTTTAGAAAAATATCTATCCAAATTAGTGAAAAAACAAAAAATTGGAGCTTAAAAAGGTAAGTGTCAGCTATTACCTCAGTCACTATGAGGTAACAGAGATAGCCTTTGGAGCCAGCTGATCTAAGTCAAATCCTGACTTTGCTACTTATCAGCTATGAAACTCACCCTCAGTTTCTTCATCTGTGAAATGGGTGTGAAACAGCACCTAACCTCAATGGGCTGTTTTAAAAATTAAAGCCTACATATCAAAAAGGCTCAATAGCGGGCCTTCATGTAGAAATACTCAATAAATAGTAGCTGTTGTTCAGACAAAGTCCATCTTTGCCTACCCCAGATCTTCCCTTGGCTGAAGTCTTGCTCTACACTCATACACTACGTAATATGAGCTTCACACTCTCAACATCAGGTGGCAGGCATTGACACAAAATTATCCTTTGGGGGTGGGACTCTCATTTCTCATCCCTAACAGGTGGGCATTTCACATGGGTGCCATGAGATGCAACAAAGGGACAGGCAGGCCATGAAAAATGACCATCACCTTGGCTACATCACCCCCCTCCCACCCCATTCTTCACCCAATCAAGCTATTGATCTGCAGGCACTGTCTCCTGGGAAAGGTTATGGTGGGTGTCTGAGGCGTGATCATGCATGAAAATGCCTTTCCCACAGGAGCCTCTGGGAATGGCAAGCACTCAGTGCCTGTCCTGTGCCCCCAGCCCCAGGCACAGAGTGCTTCAGCCACATCCCCTCTGAGATCAAGGCAAGCCAGAACCAGAAAGGCTTCATCTGACCCTCACTGAAGGATGAGGAAACTGAGGCACGGAGCGGGTGAGTGACTGGTGTGGGGCTACCCAGTGAGTCCAGAGCAGGCCCCTGGTAGAGGCTGCATTTCCTATTTCCTGGTCTTGTCATCTGACCCTCTGCTCTCACCTTTTTGCCATAGAGTGTTTCTTCTATGATGGAGACTCGGGGGTCCCAGCATCTAGTGAGGCAGAGAAGGGTAAAATGTAGGGAAACTAAGGCCAGGGTGACCAGAAACAGCTGGGCAAGTAAGAAATGTATGTTAAGGCTGGGTCCAGGACTCAGAAGTACTAACTGACCAGAAAGTGAACAACTAGCTTTAATTTGCTCCCATCCAACTTCTCTTAGTCTAATTCCACTAAATACATATTTATTGAGCACCAACTATGTGCCAGGTCCTCATCTAGATTCTTCAGATGCATCAACAAGTGTAGCAAAGCCCCCAGACTCGGAGACCTTGTATTGAGAGATGGAGGGCAATATGCAAGAAAAAGGGTAAGCACATTACATGTCGTATGCTAGATAATGATAAAGTCTACGGAAAATGATTAGGAGTAACTTTTTTTTTTTTTTCAATTTTAAATAGAGTGACCAGAATAGGCTTCACTGAGAGGACATGTGAGCAAAGACATGAAAGTGGTGAGGAAAGCCAGGGCTCACTTGGCGTCCATGAAACAGCAAAGAGGCCAGCATAGCCAGAGTGGAGTGCGTGATCCAGCAGGAGAAGCAGACAAGGCCAGAAAAATCACAGAAGGGGGCAGATTATGCAGGGCCTTGTAGACCATGGCAGGACTCAGGCTTTGACTCAGAGTGATGTGACACAGAGTGATGCAGGGGTTTGAGCAGAAGCACATGCACACTCTGGCTAACGTGTTGAAATAAACTGGAACCGTGAGGAAGGAAGCAGGGAGACCAATGAGGAGGCGCCTGCAATTCTCCAAGCAAGAGATGATGGAGGCTTGGACCAGGCTGAGGTGAAAAGAGGTCAGATTCTGAACAGGAATGGAGAGTTGAGGGGGTCTGCTGACCATTTGAATGTGGGGTGTAAAAGAAAGAGAAAAGTCAAGGATGACACCAAGGTCATCCTTTTGAGTCTGTGCAACTAGAAAGGTGAAGTCTGCCAACTGGCACAGGAAAGACTGCAGGTGCTGGGGAGGGAAAGCCAGAATTTCAGTTTGCACTGGTCAAACTCCAGTCACCTATTACACACCTCGGTGGAGGTGTCAAGCAGCTGGAGATGTCAATCAGGCTCTGGCTTCTGAAGAGAGGTCTGGCTGGAAGTCACCATCATAGAGATGGAATTTAAGGCAGAAGCCTGGTGAGATCACCAGGGGCATGAGTGTGGACAGAGAAAAGGGCAGGGCCAAAGAGGGAGCTCTGGGGGCCCCAGCCAGCAGAGATGAGGAGGGTGCAAACAAATCAAGAGTGTCAGAGCATCCAGCTCTGCTCCCTCCTACCCACCTGTCTCACAAAAGGGAGCCAGATTGAGTCCCTGACCTCAGCACCACGTTATCTGGGTCTAAGGGCAATTATGCCTAGAGAAGACTCAGGAAAGAGAGAGCACTGAGTGCAGGTTGAAGGACAGGAGGATTTTCACAATTGAAAAACAGTCTCCACTTGGATAGAGCAATCCAGGGAGCTTTAGGATACGGTAGGGGGAAATTGTAGGCTAAATCAGAGCTAGGGTTTCCTCCTCTGGATTCACTGTCCAGAACCCAGCAGGGATGTGGCTGGTGGACCCTCTGGGCTCTCTTGAGTTCCTCTGGAGAAGGCTATGGTGTGAACCTTCTCTTTCCTTGTGACACAGAGCCTGGGGGTCATTCCCTCCCCATGCTGAGTTACTAATGCCCAGGGCTTCCTGGCCATTTGCCCTGCCTGAGAGCAACTCAAACTCCAAACACCCTTTGAGCCAAGATGCCAAGGGTTAACTAGGGGGTGGGGGAACCACAATGACAGGAGGAAGAGATTTTTAACAGCTTCTAGTGATAGAAATCATCCCCAGCCAGCCCCCTGGTACCAGTTTATATTTTCTCTCTATTTTAATTAAATATCTGTCACTCACACGTTCGTGCTTGCTGCTCCTTTGTTGGCTACATAGAAGTTCAATTGGCAGGGGTACTGGGAGGAGCACTGGATGGGGAGCCAGGAGCCCTGATCTTCACTCCTGGCTCTGCCTTAACTGGAGGTGTGATCTTGGGCAAGTCCCTTCCCCTTTCTGGGCCTCAGCTTCCCCACGTGTAGAGTGAGGGGACAGACCAGTCAGTCAGTCTGGTTTGCTCTGGCCAACTACAGCCTTCTAAACTTCTGGCTCTTCTTAAGATATCTGCTGCCATCCTGTCTTCAGTTCCCAAGTCTGTTTCAGCTGCAGTTCACTATACTCCCCCTGGAACTCTCATAACCATATGTTGCAAGAGTAATTATCCTCCAATTTCACCTTCCAATTACATCTTAATTTACCTTTCATTCCTCGGTGTCTGCTGGAATGTCCAGGCCAAGCCTGATGATTTCTAATTAGGCTGCTGTTAGGCTGGTCCAGTGATCCACGACAGGGCATTACTGGGAAGGCAGCAAGGGCCAGCATGGAGAGAGCATGCTCAGGCCCAGGGAGGCTGGGCTCCCCTCCCAGCTCTGCCGCACATCATTTTGCCTCTCTGAGCCTCAGTTTCCTTTTTGGTAAAATGACGAAATACCTCCTTTTTTTCATAGGGCTGTTGAGTAGTTCAGGAAAATAGCAGACATGATGCCTAACAAAGTAGCTCCCAGTTGACAAACATTTCCCACACCCCTACTATGTGTTAAGCACTGAATAAAAAAAGCCGGCTCTCAGGCTGGACAGTCTGCGCTTCAAGCTTGTCTTTCAATTCAATCTTCAATAAGCTGGTGACCATAAAATCATAACCATAGGTTGCAAGAGTAATTATCTTGCATAAAATCTCTGCATTTCAATTTTCCCACCTATAAAATGGGAATAGCAATGGTACTTATCTCATAAGGTGACTGTGAAAACTAAATAAACTGATAGAAGTAAAACACCTAAAAGCAATACCGATTCATAGTAAGTACCCAATCAATATTAGCTGGTATTTACTAGTTGCTATGTGACAGACACCATTCTTTCTAGGCACCTTACATGTTTTACTCTATTTAATCTTACCAACCCCATTTTTCAGATAAACTGAGGTGTAGAGAGGTTAAATAACCTGCTTAAGGTCACATAACTAAGTATATGATGGTTCTGAGATTCAGTCCCATGGAGTCTGTAAACCACCATGCCACGTGATGAGGAAATTCAGACCATGGTGCATGGTCTGAATGTGAGGCTCGTATCATTATCATCACATTGAAAAAGGAACCAGGTTTACACTGGAGACAAATTACAGGAAGGCTGAACCCAAGAGTGACAACGGCTAAGATTTCCTGGGACCAAACCTGCCTCTAAGCTTATCCTGATTCACTCCATCCCCCAGATTCTCAGAGAAGGGAGGGTCTGCCCAAGCCTCATGCAGGAAAACGTGGGAAAACTGGAATCGCTCTCACCATTGTTATAAAGCGGGTTTTATTAGGAGTGTAGGAAAAGCTAGCCAGGTTCTCTTCAGGCCATGCCAGCACAGGCAGGAGGCAACCCCCTTTCCAGGCAGTGGCTGGCTAGGCTCCGGGTTCAAGAAGCTCTGTTCCAGCTTCTTCCACTCCCGCAAAGTGGCACCCCTGATCCTGCTCCCCAATTCTGTGACCCACACTCACTAACTGCCCAGGTGCCTATATGCCCAGCAGTAACAGGGCCTGGACACCGGAGGCAGCTGCCACACTCTCAGACTGTCTGAACTGCCCTGCCGGCAACTCACTGCTAAAACAATGACTTTTTTTCATTAAAAATATTTTTAAAAGAAAAAAAAAATCCTACAGACACACACACACACACACACACACACACACAAATACACACACACACACACCCTAGCAGGATATGGTTCCAAGACAGCCAAAATGGTGGCTTCCTGTTTCTTTAGGGATATGTGTTTTGGAGTATGGCTTTGGACAAGGGTGTTGGTCGGGGAGGGGGCTGCCTTCTACTAAATTCTGTGAGAAAAAGAAAATAGAGTGGCGATGGCTTCTTGGCAAGCAGATGAAGTTAGCTGGGGCTGTTCCCTACAAACTCTCATCTTAAGGGAACTTTCTGCCCTCCCCGTAGATGGAGTTGGGAATCCCGAGGACTGAGTTCCAGGCACCGCCCATCTCCGAGTCTCACTTTCTAAATCCGTTAAATGGCACAACTCTGGGGGGATTCCTGAGATTTCAAACACATTTTGATTTCACGGAATCTCTGAACTGCAAGGATGAGCTGGGGTAGTCAAATTCATAGAGCAGGAAAGCGACGGACTGGGGGTGGGAGAATCAGGAGCGGCTCAGCGCGGCGGCGACGAACGTCCCACGGGCGTTGAGTCCCCTAAGGGAGGCACAATGGAGGCCAGGGCGCCGCGAGGGAGGGGTGCGTTACAGGGGATTAATTTGGGGCTTTTTAGTCTCATCTGGAGAATGAGCTCCAAACCTCGGGGTCTAGGGGGAAAGAAGGGAATAGGAATCCTAGTACCGGCGTGCCGGTACTAAATAACTGAGAATGGGCCCCGGAGTCGGGGAGAGCCCCAGACTGCCCCGTGGGTCTAGTGTGGCCCCTGAGAGGCCAGCAAGGACTGGTTCGGGACGCTGGGGAATGGACGGCAAAGGGTTGCGGGGGTCCAACCAAGTCGCTTTTGCGAAAGGGAGTCTTTCTTCGTAGGGGAAGGAACCCTCACTCCGGGGACCGCCGTGAGAATGGGATACTGGCGCGCACGGCCAGGGCGTGGCCTCGCCAAGTGGGTCCCTGAGGCGGGACGCTTCGGACGGGGGTCCCCGATTCTGAGCCACTCGGCGGGTGGACATCGGCGCCGCGCATGCTTTGGCCGAGGCCGAGCAGCACGGAAGGTCGGTCAGGGGATTTCGCGCAGCTAGCCCGGGCGCCCGAGAGCTCCAACTTGGAACGCCCGGCCGGAGCCCCTCGCGCGTGTGCCCCGGCGCTGGAGGTCGTGGGGCCTCCTACCTGCTCTGTTCATCTTCAGCGCGCTGGGCCCGGGCCGCCGTCGGCACGTCGGTCCGTCCGCGGGTCCCAGCGCGATTCCGCACGCCACCTCTCTCCGCGGCCGCCCCGCGGGGCCCGCACCCGCTGGCGCCCGCCCGGCCCCCGGCGCGCCTCGAACTCCGCGCGGCGCGCAGGGCAGTGGGGACGCGGGGCGCGAGCCTCCGGGGCGGGGCCGCAGGGCTGGGGCGGCCGGGGGAGGGGGAGGAGGCGCGAGCGCGGGGGCGGCGGCTAGGGCTGCGCTGGGCGTCGCGTTCGCTCCGGGCTCCGGGCGCACTGCGCTCTGGCCGCCGCGTCTCCGCCTGCGCCTCTGCCTGCGCTGTAGCCGCGCCTCCGCCCCCTCCTAGACATTTCCTCCGCTCCCGAAGAGGAAGGATTTTTTTTTTCCTGCTCTGTCAGGGATCCAGGGAGCTGAGGGTCCGGGCGTCCCTGCGCACATTTAAAGGGGCCGTGGCCGTGGGCAACGCGGGAGGCGCTGAGAGTTCGAGGGACGAGAACTCAGCGAGTTGGGCTTCTGGGGTGTACCTGGCTCCTTCGCCCAGCAAACCATCTATCCCTTTATTTTTAACGCTGGGCATTCGTTCAGTCCCGCTCCAGCCTTGGCGCTGAGCGCAGGACAGCCCCAAATTCTTGCCCTCATGGAGCTTAGACGGGAGGAAGTCGCTAGAGACACCATTTCAAATCGAGGGAGGGAAACCAGGGCAATGGGGCAGAGCGGTGGCTCTCAGAGGGCGCCTCGCAGCCTCAGTGAATTAGAAACCCCGCGTTTTATCATACCCTCCAGGTTTGAGAACCACCAGAGTAAAGAATGGGTAGTCAAGGAAGGCCTCCCTGAGGAGGTGACATTGGAAGGGAGACCCAGTTGATGAGGATCCTTCTTTCCTTATACACTCAGCACACACCACACAGCCTCTCACAGTGCCTGCCTGGTACTGGGCGACCAGTAGACCAAGCCTCCACCCTCCAGGAGTTCCCAGTCTGCTTGTCCACACAGTCACAGGCAGATAGTTCTGCTACCCCGAGGCTCATGCTGTGATGGGAACACACAGGCGCCTGTGGGAGCTCAGAGGAGGCCCCCAGTGGGGAGGGTTCAACCAGAGGAGAGGCCTTCCCAGTAGAGGGAATCACAGGGCAAAGACTTCGCTGAGATGGGAGAAGTCCTGGCCTCCTGGAGGAGTCTGAGGGCTTTGGCTTGGCAGAGGTGGTGCTGGAAGCGGATCTGATTTCCCCAGCTGTAAAATTAGGAACTGAATGTGTCCTTTTAAAGTCCTTTCCATCCCTGAGCTGCCACAGAGTCCTTAATCCTCCCGGCTTTTGTGGAGAAATACTTGTGACTCGAATAGAAAATTTGTGGCTGAATTTGGCTCTTGATACATTTTATGGGTCCATTCATGGAGGTGTGGCAGGGATGCAGATGGAGGTGACGGTGGAGGTGGTAGAGGTGGGGAAGTTGTAAGTAGTAGCAGAAACAGAGAAGGTGGAGGTGGTGTTGAAGGTGAAGGCGGGAGAGGTGGTGGTAGAAACTAGTGGCGGTGGGGAGGGTGTCCAGCTGGTGGTGAGAGAGGTGCAGAGGGTGATGGATGTATTTGTGGAAATCATGGCGTAGCTGAGGGATGTAATATACCTTGCGGTAGTGGAAGAGTTGGAGGTGGTAGAATTGGTAGATGGTGTGGATGTGGTGGTGGAACTGGAGGAGGTGAAGGAGTGGTGGTGGTGGAGGTGGAGTTGAGGGAGGTGATGCAGGTGGTGGAGGTGGCAGAGACAGTTGAGGTGACGGAGGTGGGACAGGTGATGGAGTGGATTGAGCTGACATAGGTGGTGGAGTTGAATGAGGTGGCAGAGTTGGTGGTATCAAAGGTGTGGGCAGGGATATCTGTATTTAAATGTGGGTACAAATGAGTGGATAAATCGTTTCAATATTTGATGCAAAAAGAAAATGTGTTTTTTTAAAAATTTGATCTTGTTTCTGAGATTACCAATAAAAGCAAAATACCCTACAACCCCCAGGGCAGGAGCAGGTGAGGGAGGCTCAGATTATTCAATTCGCTGCCAGTGTTACTCTTCGCTGTTGGCCGTGCAAAGAAGGGAGGACAGAAAGAGACCTCAAGGCTTTGCTAAGCCCTTTCCACTACTGTTGAATTTGGGATTTGAGGCTAAGCAATGTCTGCTCTGAAAGATCATAGCACCAAGGCCAGCTGGGAAAAACACAGGTTTGAACTTGTGTGGCTGGAGCCACACAATAGTGTAGAGTGATGGCCTTGAAGTTGAAATGCTTATTCCTTTGTTTGCTGTTCCAAATAAGAGAAAATGGATGGGAAAGACTGTGGGCTTTACAAACACCCATTGCCAATTACTGGTGTTGTATTTATGGGACTGAGCCACAGCCACTCACTGAATTCAGGGGGAATGACTGTAAATACCCACAAAAGACATGATGTGTGGGGGTGATGAACATCATCGCTACTTATCTTGAGCCTTTAACATTTATATTCATCCCATGAATTTTATAAAGGAGTTATTATATCTCCATTTCACAGATAGAAAAACTGAGGACCAGAGAGGGGGAGTGACTTACCCATTTTCTACTCTGAATGATTGCTTTGCCTTTTGGGGGCAAGAGCCTCTTCACGCTTTTCTGGAGGAGCCTGGAAGGTGAAGGACAGGAACCTTTAAGGCAGATGCCAGTGGGGTTGGCATCTGAGTGGGCTTTCCCTCTCTCCCCTTCTTTTTGCTCTTTCTATCCTGCCCTCTCTTTCTATCTACTTTGGACGATCAGAATGGCCAGCAGTTGCCAGCCATCTCGCAGTGAAAACCCAGTGGGAGCATTGGAAGTGGGGGCCAAAGGGACCATCACCATGGTTCTCCCACATCCAAGGACCAACTAGGTGTCCACCTCAGAGCCTGGGGAACTTGGGAGCAAAGGAACTTGAGCATCCAGTGCAGTAGCCAGGTGAGGAGACAGTGGCACTAACAGCAGGCAGTCATAGCAATGACAGTGATAACAAATGCTGATAGTGGAAGCCTGCTGAGTGTCAGCTCTGTGCTCCACCCTTTCCATACATCTCATGACAATGTAAAGTGATTTTTATCATTGTCCCATTTTACAGGTGAGGAAACTGGGGTTTAGAGGGGTGAGACACTTACTCAAGACCCAGAGGCAATGGTAGTCAGACCCAGGTCCGTCTGTCTCCAGGGCCTGTGCTGTTTACCATGTACCACATTTGCCCACAGTCACCACGGCAGAATCTTGACCAGCATCCTGAGCATTTCTTCATTTCTTCAATTCATTCACTCAACAAAAATGAATGGAGTGCCTACTTTGTGCCAGGTGCCCAGCCAGGTTCTGGGTAAACAGCCCAGCCTCACCCTGTGCTTCCCAGAGCTCCTAGGTTAGCTGAGGAGGGCCACGAAAGGGTATACTTACCACGGGCCCAATGAGAGCACTAATGGGGAAAACAGACCTCTTGACTCCCAAGCAATGTTCCCATTATGGTACCACCGCCCCTCAGGTGCCTTTAGACCCCAGCTGGTGATGACAGGTTCCCTGGGTGCTTCTAAAAACAAAGTCACCCCTCACTGCACCCCTTAAGACCCCAGGGCCCTCCCCACATACAGAGCTCTATCCCACACACCCCTCACTCATGCACGTGTGTAGTGCACCGTTCTCCAAGTCAGCAAATGCTTCCCATCTTTTTATTGTCCTTGGACAATCTGGGGCTGACTACCTCCCTGCACACGGCTCAGGTTATGGCAGCCCCAGCTCCAAATTGCTGAAATCCAGCTCTCTATTCCCACAGGCCTGAAGCCTTTGTTAAGCCAGCTCCAAAGCTGGATGTGGCTCTGTTCTCCAGAAACAAAAACGCCCCAGGCTCTGTGAGCTCATGTGAAAGTGCCCATCACCAAGCCTCCCAGCTCGGCAGTGGGCCGTGGTGGTCAGGAGCCACATTAACCTGGGCACGACCTTGGTGAGTCACTAAGCCTGTTTCCCCATTTTCAAATCATGCTAGCTGATATTTACTGAGCTATATGCTGATATATTTGTGCATTCAATATATGTTTTATGTATATTACCTCATTTAATCTTCCTAACCCATGCGGTAGGCATTGTTATTACCCCCATGTTATAGATGAGACTGCTGTGAGTAACACCCCCCATGGGCACTGAGGAAGGAGAATTGTCCAGACCCCAGGCACAATTAGTGCCTGAAGAATATCTCAGTTTACAGTGTTATTACTCAGCTATTTCCTTTATATGATCCTTTATATGTAATCATATATTATAGAATTAGTACCTGAAGTATAACTCATTGCTTACTTATATCTAGCTTATATATATATAAAATCATACTTAGTTCTATATAATCTTCCTATAAAATCATATAGGTATTGTAGTCAGAGCTGTACTGACACATTTAGTGCTGATTTATATAATCCTTCCGTATAACCATATAGTAGTTTGTAGTAGGAGGAATGCCTAGAGCAGTCACAGAACAGAAGCAGTACTTGGGAAAACAGCCAGACCAGGAGGAGAACCAAAGACCCAGGCGGTGGCGTCCCTGCCTGAAAGGGCATACGCGGTATGGCAGGCTTGGAGCAAGAGCCTCTCCTCCTGATAAAGGAGTTGTAGTACCTTACATCCAGTTCCTATGGAAAGTAGGCCTCAGGCCTGAGAAGTAACCAAGAGAGAAGAACCCCTCGGGTGTGCCCAGTCACAGCGGCTGTACACCCTGTCAGTCTTTTCTCGCTTCTGTGCTAGCTCAAAGAATCCTCATGTAAGTATCTTAAGAGCACAATTCTGTCAGCTCCCACTGCACTGGCTTACAGTATCCTTCTATTAGAAATCCTTTGAAGTCTCCAGCCCCCAGACAAGAAATGTTGCGCATGACACCTGTTTCCACACAGCCCATCTCCTTGCCTCGGTGACCTAATGGGGGTGGACCCCTTTTCTGTACACAACCCTCTACTACTGAGCATGGCATGGCCCCCTTACTGCGCACGGCCCACCTCTCTGCCCAGGTGACATAATGGGGTGGCCCCCTCGCTTGTGACTCACGTGATTATGTATGCCCTATT